GGAAGGCGAACTGAGGACCCTGCTGTTTCACCTGAGGGCAGCCTTGTAGGGAATGGTAACCTACCTGTTTCAGAGCACACTTTTGGGGAGTCTGATTCCCTTGCGTTTTCTAGCGGCAACATAATAGAGAATGCTTCCCCTGTAGAAACACTAGACAACCAAGGTGGAAATTATGCCTCTGTCTTTTCTGTTGGCAAGATTGAGAAGAGAAGCAAAAAGTGTGCAGCATATCTAGATGCAATTCCTCTTGAGCATTGGACACAAGCGTTTTGTCCAGCTAAACGCTACAACATGATGAGTAGCAATATTGCCGAGGCTCTAAATGGCGCATTAGCAAAAATTGTTGAACTACCAATTGTTTCAATGGTTGAGTCTATTAGAACAAAGTTAATGGAGTGGTTTTGCTTCAGAAGGGAGAAGGGAAGGAAACTACTGGCTATGGGACAGGTGATAACACCTGCTGTCAACACATTACTCCTCCGCCACCACACTGAGTCTGCTGGCTTGGCTGTGAAACCAGTATCAGAGTGGAGTTTCCAAGTTGCTTCGAAGACAAAGTAGTACTATGTGGACTTAGCTCAGAAAACCTGCGCCTGTTTGCAATTTCAAAAGCTGGAAGTCCCTTGTTGTCATGTCTTGGCTGCAGCAAGGAGGAAGCGCGTTGAAGTACCTTCTTTGGTAGGTGAACACTACATGGTAAAAGTCTTTGCCGCCACTTACGAGAAGCTGATCTTCCCTGTGCCTAATGAATGTGACGAAGAAATTCCAACTGCTGTGCAAGAAACAGAGTTCATCCCACCTGAAAATAAGAATGGTCCTGGTCGGAGAAGGAAAAGAAAGATCCCTTCCAGTGGAGAGTACACGGTAAGGAAGGAAGTTATGTTTTCTACATAGCCGAGAAAAACTGAAAATTTAGGAACTAACAGTCTCTAATGTTTCTGCATGGTGCAAAAAGGGGAAAGACTGGACCGCATAAGTGTTCTACTTGCGGTGAACAAGGTCATAACAGAGCAACTTGCTCTAACATGCCATCTTAAGGTACATGCCTGAAATAAATATATCCTATATTTGTTCTGTTGGAAGTAAAATTATTGGTTATATGTACTAAACAATATGTTACAATGTGTGGCAGCTGTGTAGATGGAGACTATAACTTTTTGGACCAACGAAGCGGTAGTTTATGTTGCAGTGATTGTTTTTTTGGCGTGGTCAGTTGATGGCCTATGGACACATATGTTTAGCAGCGACGGGGACAGACCCTTTTGTATTTCGGCTTATCGTTGGCTTAGGGCAAGGCAATGTATAGGAAGCTGGAGATCAGCTCGGTTTAGTTGGGTACAACCAACTTGTAAGAAAGTGCCTTAAATGTACATAGGAATTATGGTAATATGAAAGCATGTAATATATTAATCTGATGCTCAAACAAACTACGCATGTATGTCCCTTAAAGTATTAATGGAAAAAGGCTTCTGTTGGTGTAAAAAGAAAACAGCAGGTACTTTATTTATTGGGTGAGTACAAGGTGCAGAATAGGATGTAGTTAGCATAGCTCGCGAAAGCGAGTTGCATACATGTAAACAAAACATCGACGACAAAGGGAAAACACCGTATAATTGTTCAGAAAACAATTAGGCAGACCAGGACCAAAACGTAAGGTATTGTCATAACGACCACTCCTTGGTAATCTCAGGGATGTAACTTGATGTAGAAACATTTCACCAATCTCAACTGCTTCGGGAATGTTAGGAACAAGATTAAAAAATGATTCCATGACCACCATACCTTGGTCAAAAGAACCACAACAAACAAGAACAATTCCCAAGGCAAACCTAGCATATAACATGTGTGGAGCAGCAGCTCCTAACAGATCAATTGATAGCTGGGAAGGACCTGCTTCAGCAGCAAGGCGTAAGCCTTCAACGAACTGGTCAGAGTGATTATCAGCGTCCAAACACCGTAAAAAGAACGGCCTGTAGACAGAACCAATATTTGCCAGATGTGGTGCGAAGACGAATTCATCAATATCGACATCAGCAAGGACGGTCTCGTCAAAGGCAAGGGCCATACACTCGGGTCCAGCAGCTACCAAAGAACCTAACTCTCTGAAACCATGCTGGGAGAGACGCCGAACAATGTCAAGAAGCAGAGGATGTGGAATAATGTTCATTTTTTTGGAGTTTGCGTTTCTGAGGTTGCAGGAGAAAGAAAGAACAACAGTGATTAAATAGGGAATTAGAGGCAAGAGAGGGAACATATTTGGAGTTGAAATGCAGGTGGGGAGTAAGCGTGCAATGACATACATTAAGTGATATAGGTGGCACAGTAGCAGCAAGTGGTAATTAAAAGCTGTGTGTTCCCTTGCGTGTTCTGTCAAGGAAAAGTGACAGTGTAAAGTGCCTTGAAACTAGCAAATGATATGGAAACCAGAAGGTGTAAGCGTTGCTGTAGATACAGGAACTGCTTTTACTGGAACTGTCACATACAAGATACAAAAATGAAAAAGAAAAAAAAGATTTAGGAATAAGATCTTGAAAAGAGTTTAACAAAGAAGGAGGTACATAACACTAAACCAATACAAAAAACACTGCCTGCAACGTCTGTCAATTCGGCACCTAGTAGCAAAACAGGTAGGGATGTCACCATAGTGCCAAGTGTTAGCGTGCGAACGAATCTTCACTGGACCAATATGCATTATGTGTTTAAAGACAGTGCTACCAATAGCATCAGCTTGACGGAATGAACCAATAGACGAGATGAAGCTATCAATTGTGGCAATTGATTCTTGGTAAAAGCCGAGGCAAACCTTTAATAATGCCCGTGAAAACCAAGCTTGAGGTGGACTATTGCCAGAGGAGTATAACAACCGAAGAGCATCTTCAGCACGCCCAAGTTTTGCAGCAAGGCGGATGCTTTCAAGGTAGGCAGCAGTTGGATTAAGAGAGTCCAAACATAGGCGGAAGAATAGACGATAAATAGAGTCTTCGTTAATAAGGCTTGCATCTGCAAGGAAGGTTGAAGGCTGACATTGTTGAGAACAATAGGATGAGATGCGAGATAGTGGTAGAATTTCGAAGCCAGCAGCATACCCCCAAGAGCCTTAAACGAATCCTCACCAACACGTGAGACAATATCTAGAGCAATGTTGATGTCCAGTTTTTCCATTTCTTCTGTGGTAGAAGGAAAGTGTGAATGATTATCTGTTTTTAAAGGCAAAACATGTAGGCACTGGTAGCAAGCAAATAAATGTTTAATAGCTAAGTGGGTGAGGAGCTCTGACATTTATGGCAAGAAAAATCAGGTATATTGCAACATGAGCTAAAACCATAAACCATTGTCATAAAAGTACACGAAAGAGGATAAATACAAGGAACTGAAGTTACGAAGGGAAATAGGTACATGTGAGAAGAGTTAAAACAGAATGGGGAATGTAGTAGAAGCACAGCATAGGTACAGAGCTTAAGGGGAGGAAGTGTAAAGTCTTCAGATATTGGTAAACGCAGAAAAATGCAAATAGAGACAGGAAAACAATCAAGAGAAGGACGGATATTCCGCATAGAGATCCAAGGCGTAGTGCATTCTGATGCTGTCAACCTGCTTCTTTGTAAGGTGCTGAAGCAACGAAGTGAGCTGATGTGAGTGGAGTTCAATAAACTTAAGAGACATCGGGCCACAGTCGCCACCCCGGTCATTTTGCGCAAGATGAGAGACTCGCATGAATGTGAAGCCAGTTGATGGCCAAGTGGCAGGGACATCATTTGAAAGAGACTGAAGCAAAGAAGGAAGCATTTGAGCTATAGGAGACATTTATGAGACGACCTTCCTTTGAGGAGTGCAGTCTTCAAAGGGGTCAAGGATGTCAATATGACCACGACATAGATCTATGGCTAAGGCAACCCAGTGTCTCTTTCCCCAATTCATCGGCATGTAGACAATGTCAACATCTTTGAGCCATGCCAATTGGGAAGGACGGCCATCTACTACACCACGAGCATACGCAATCAGAAGAGGATTCCAAGCATAGGCAGATGTATTGAGGTTCTGGCTGAAACTCATAAATTTGTTGCTCATAATGGAAGTGAACATGGAGTCCAGAAGTGTAATTCTCCGTGATGCAAGGTACGCACCATGTTTCTTCCAAAGGAAGCTGACAATACAGTCAATGTGCTGCAATGAAAAACAATGGAGATCAGAGACAATGGGAGTAAGAACTATGAAAGAGTAAGATTTGAAATGAAGAATACTAATGAGATGTGGAGAAGATGAGACTGACCAAGCTTGAAACCCAGTTTTGAGGCTTAGATATCTCAGAGAAGAAGGCAGCAGGGTATGGCTGACCATTTATAGTGTATTCACTGCAAAACAAACATGGTAAGAAAATGAATGTATAATATGGTATAGAAGAGACAGTTAAATGAGGCGTTAGAGTTCCAGAATATGCTGCACCTGCCTTGAAGCTTTGAAAGTTTGACTAAAAATTTTGAAACAGTTGGAGAGTTTATAGCTTCAAGTGTACTTAAAATGTATTCAGAACAGTCACCAACAGGAGGCTTGGGAGCTTGTTTCTTGCTACGAAGATTCATAGCAGGGCCAGAAACCAGTAGCTGTTGACTACACTTTGCAGAAGGAAGTGAAGCTATGCGAGCTTGGCTCCTTGTCATTGTTTTCCGGGAAGTACTTTGGAGCAAATGTTTAACAGGTGAGGACAAAGGGCTAGGTCCCGCTATACTGTTCAAGGCACATACATCTTTCAGCTGTGTGGATGACGTACTAAGCTGGTTTGGAAGCAGATTTTTGTTATGTTTTGGGGCAACCTGAGAAAAAAAAAAGTAAGAAGAGAAGTAAACCGACTGTGTAACAGGTAAGAGACAATTAGTAGCAGTAGAAAACAACTAACCCCCGGTGTAGTGGACAAATAGGGCGAGGGGTGAGGACAATGAGGGTTTGACACTTCCGGAGCATGGTTAGAAGCAGGGCCTTGATCACTCGTAGAAGGAATGCAGGAGGATTTGAGGGTTAACTTCTTTGCTTCATGAAGCAAAGATGGGCAGCGCAAAGCTTTCTACATAAACAAAGCAAGTAAAATTCAGTAAGTACCATTGTGGGAAGATGAAAGGAAAGTAGCAAAGAAGAACAATTGGTAACCATTAAATAACCTCAGTAAACACTATATTGTCTGGACACAAAGATGAAACGGGATAAGTTGCCGGAGAGGGAATAACAGCAGGGGCATGGCTACCACTGACGGCAGGAGAAGCAGGCTAGATGAGGAAAAAAAAGAATTAGTACAAGCAATTAAAAAAAGCATTGGAAAAGAGAACCAAGGTAATCCTTACCACATTAGGAGGGGCACCAGTGGGGCAGTTGCGAAAGCCAGTACAACCTTGAGAGGAAACATTTGATAAAGAGGGACTTCTAATGGGAGAAGGGAGCGCATTATGGGCTGACTCAGTTAAAGTGTGAGCCGAAGCTGAAAGTTTAGCAGAAGCAACGGAGCTTTCTTTCCGCGCAGTAGAACAGTTAGCAACTGATTCTACAGACATGGCAGTAGAAGCAGAGCGTGTGACACGCCGAGGCAAAGAAGATGCAGGATTAACAGGAGAAGTAACATTAACAGTCGCTGACACAACTGTATTATCATGGAGAGTTTTGTCAATAAGCTCGCGAACTTCAACAATAAGAGATGCTTTCAAAGATTTGACATTTTTTTGAGACAGTGTCTGAGAGCGTTTAGCCTTCGACTTAGAACGAGACCGCAGATCCCGCGTAACCTTTTTGGCATCTGGCTCTTCAGCAGAACTTGAGCTATCAGACTGGCAATGGTTGCATTTACGCTTTCGGGAAGACCTTAGGGATGGTAGAGAGCTATCACCACCAGGCCAAATAGATTTATCGAAGTTAAAAGTTGATGCAATAAGGCCCTCTAACTGTTTAACCTTTGGGTCGCAATGCGGAGACGCGAGAAATGCAGCATCACCTGATGCTGGAGGCAAAACAAAAAGCTGCACAAAGGAAAGATAAAGATCAGCTATTAAGAAAGAGAAAAAAATTAATTAAGCCACAGTGAAAGAAGAAGGACAGACTTGTCGTGAATATTCTACATGCAGAATGTTTGATGAATGGTATGACTTGCACTTAGGAAGACGAGGAATGACTTGGTCAAGGAAATTAAACTCTTCTCCAGCATGAGGCAAGTACTTAAGCAGCAACGGGATATACTTGAAAGCAAACAGCTGAATTGCAAGAGGAAAACCATGTATTGCAATAGAGGATTTTCTAAGCTTGGCTACAAGGGAGGCAGTGTCGAGAATATAAGAACCAACTTTGGCAGTCCGCAGAATTCGGTGAAAGGAGTGTCTTCCCCAAGGATATTTAAGAAAGAAATTAATGTCTTTCACCATTTCAACAACTTCAACAGATGCTTTAACTGGTTGAGAGCGACAAAGTAAAATACCTTCTACAATAACAACCAGACAAATCCTGAATTTACGCCAACTGGCCATAGTAGGCTCCTGTTTAAGACGGGCAAGAAGTTCCTTAACTGTCACAGCACCAGGAGTACCTCCAATTAATTGATACCAGTAAGGTGAAGAACCATCAGCATGAGTTGTTGCAGCCTCAAGTTCTGACTGTGGAGGGAAATCACAACAGGACAACCCAGTGGCATCTGAAATTCCTTTAGCGAAAATCTCAACGGCTGACCCCCAAATACAAACCACATTTCCGCAGCATTGGTTGTATGCAACTGTCTACAGAGCATCTTGATGAACCAGTTGGCTAGAAAAAGAACATTGACGAACAGGCAGAGAGAAGAGGGCACCAAGAGGGGAGGACAACAGAGTCTCTGGCATACCATGCAGAACATTCAAAATATCAACCAGGTACTTAGGTTTTGAATAAGAATTGATACGAACTGCATGAGAAGGATAGCAATCAACAGCAAAAATTCTTTCAGGGAGAACACCTGAAAATATAAAAAGAACAAACATTGAAGCTCAAAACAGGAAGCAGAGTGTGTATGAAAAACTTGAATACAAAGTTATAGGATACTAAACCCTAAGAGACATGGCACTACTAAACCCAAGCAGAAACATTGACAGTACTAAACCCTCTAGGGTACTAAACCCTAAGAGACATGGCACTACTAAACCCAAGCAGAAATATATACAGTACTAAACCCTATAGGATACTAAACCTAAGAGGTATGGGACAACTAAACCCAAGCAGAAATGTATATGATTATGGTAAAGCCTGAAAGCCATGATGACTAAACCCAAGTATAGATGTAAACGATACTTAATGGGAAAAAAGGGAGGTGGACAGGTCGCAGAATTACAAACCAGGTCGAGCAGAGGGAGAAGCTCCAGATCCAAGTGAACCCATTGAAGTAAGGCAGAACCTACAAATGAAAGTAATGTCATTTTTGGGGTCAATTGCATGATAGGTAACAAAATCAATTGAACTAAGACAGAAACTACAGAGGAAATTCATGGGTGTTTAGGCAACTTAGCTGCCATGAATCTTAAGTTTTACAATAAATGCCACATATCCTAAACGGAAACAACAATATCCACCGGCGAGCGGCGAGGTAGAGATCATTCCCATAAGGTATGAAACCTAAACCCTATCCATGTCGGAAGAAGACTGTAGATAGTTATATGGAACATGCAAAAACACAGAGAAACGATGCGGAACCCAGCAGATTAGCAATGGCGAGAGGGAGACAGCAGTAAAGCTCCATTAAATTACCAGCTGCAGCTTTGCCGACGAATTTTAGATCTACGAATTGGAACTCCAGAACGGACGATGCGGCGGTGAGCTCTTTGTTTTCCCCGACGATAGAGAAAGTAAAGTGGAGAGGGAAAGTAATGATTTACTGTGCTGTAAACAGAGAGTTATGGCTACACGGTTGGTTTGTCTGACGTCTCGGGCAGCTGAGTAAATGCACGGGTGAAGCGAAAAAAAAAATTGATGACGAAGAGTCGCAAAGGGTAAAATCGTAAAACAATAGGCTGCACAAAGGGTAAATCTACAAAATGTGCAAAAAAGGACAAGGGCAACAAATGCCACGGTAAAAAAGGACATTTTCTGTAATTGATTCCTCTTTTAATTTCAATAGTAATCAGTTTGACTAAAAAAAAAAAATTCTTAAAATATTAGTAGAAAAGTGTTATTCTTGCAAATGACCCATTTATTTTTCTTTGCATCAATGTAGCAACGTATCTGTTACCAAAAAAAAAAAAATGTAGCAACGTATCTAGCAAGTTACTCTAACCAACTTGTGTTCCATCATAATATGAGGAATGTTATAAAAGTCGTGAAAAGGAGGAATCGTAAAGTCGCAAAAGATGCGCACATGGGTCAAACGTTTCGTTATTTATTAATTTATGTAGAGCCCACCGTCACTATGCACGCATAGTAATTTACTTTTTTACGCCTATATAAACGAACGAATTCGTTCGATGTAAAATCACAATTCATTACTTCAATTACAAGAGAAGTAATAATCTCTCTCCCTCTCATCTCTTTATTTTCAGTATCCCGATCCTTCTGCGGGTATAATTCTTTCTCCATTATTTATATTTATATACACCATATAATAAAGTAATTATTATAACACGTTATCAGCACGATCACTCTATGATCGCTGGAAAAAAAATATACGATATTATACCGGGCGGTATGTCGCCTCGTAAAAGAAAAAATATGGAAAAAAAAAAAAAAAAAA